AATGACTTACACTTAGATTAAGCTCACTGGTGTAGTCTTGGCCATTTCCTAGTGTATCTCCTTTGTCACTTATCTCCATTAGCAGTGATAATGGGGATGGAGGAACAGCTGCCTGGCGAATGAAAATTTCCCTTCCTCAGTCCTCTCTTGCTTTTCTTTTTGGCAACCAGGTAGCCCTGTAAGGCACCTTGCATGTCAGACTGACTGCTTCATTGAGATTCATGTGAGCAATATCCACACCTGTCCAGCATAACATGATTAATTAACATAGGTTCCAGCAGGACATGATTAATTTGCCATCTATTGTTCAGATGCAAATGGCTGTTAGATGTTAGCTGTGCATTAACAGTATTTTATAACTCCACAGACAGTATGTTAGGGACTATGTTCAGTCTGGGTAATGCATTGCTAAATGCTGGAAGCCCCAGACTCTGTCTAGTCTATACTGAGGATTAGGCTTCAAAACAATTCACCTAAGTACACTTGCGTGTGTAAACCCTTAAAACTATTTATTTTTCAAGCCATTGGTTAGAGGCTTTAATAAAAACCAGTTCTGCAGGATATTGTTTTGGCTATTTAAAATGTGAATACCGCTTGGCTGTCCTTTCTGTGAGAACTTAACCGCTGTGTAGCAGTCGGGCACAATAGCTCTTCTAGTTTAAAATCTGCACTTTCATTTTAAGCCACCGGTACAGGTGAATTTAAGACAGAACTCCAGATTTTTTACTGGTGTGGCAGATGTGTGGACCTGCATCACTGTTTGTTTTGCCGTGGAAGCCATGACCTCTATCTGCCTACTTAGCAGAATAGTAACCAACAGCTGTCTTCAGCAAACACCTATAGCAGGTTAAGAAATCTGAATCAAAGCCCTATGTCTTTTCTTTACTTGAACTTTGTGGTTACCAGCACAAGTCTTTTGTTTGATTTCTAATAGTTATTGACACTCCGAGTATCATCTTTGCGACCTCGAAATGGCCTACCTAACTGTATTACCTAGGGTAATGTGCACGCTTATGATGAATCTGTATATGGTCGTACCAGGATCTAGCACTTCCTGGCTAATTCTTTCTCATAACTTTCCATTTTTATGTGTTTGTACTGTAATGTTTGTGAGTTAAAATTCTGATGATGAATATACAACAAGTACATACTCAAGCTCATATACCGATTTTTACAATGGTCTTCCAATTGTGCGAGATCTGTTCTGGTGCGTTGTGTTCCATTACTTGTAGCTCTGTCTGTTACTTGACTATTTGTAGATGTCTAAAATGCAATGTCCAAGCTGTTTTACAACTACCACTCAGACTGAAAAATATGTACAATGTCAAACACAGGAATAATAGGGCTGGGCAAAACCCACCCTGTTTGTCCCTTAGCTCCACTCAAAATTTTTGGTTTAGAAGCTTCTGCCTTAGTGTGGTAGGTTCTTGGCAGCTTCCTTTTATCTAGCATTCTTTTAGATGCTAGGATAAAGTATGAGGTATAGAATCCTGAAAAAATAAGAAAGTTTTAAGGCTTATTTGTTAGTTTCCTCTATAATTTAAAAGCCCAGAATAATTTTGGGTCTGGTAGTGAGAACTGGCCAACACCTCTGTGAACTTATGTCTGCTTGTGTCTGAATGCTGGCCTGTGCAGACGTTTAGAGTAGGTGTGTACCTGTCTTTTTGTGGTTTTCCCATTTTGCTTACCTTCTCAAAATAGGTTAAGCTTCCTGGTACAGTGGTTATGGAATTGACATCAGAGCAGTGGGAAAGCAGAAATACTCATCTGTATAGTTACAGAGGCTCACTCAAAATGCTTAGAAAATAACTGAAAGTTCACAAAATCTTAGTGGAGATACAGGTAGCAATTTTAAACTTTCAGTTTCAAACAAAAAATATTTGCCTTTTTTAACATTAAAACACCTAAATGGAGTAGACTTTCCAAACCGTAGTTAAAAGCTAACTCACAGAGGGTGCTTAACGTTCAAAAAGTTCTATTTGTGTGTTGCAGATCTCTGTTCAAATGCGTTTCAAGAGTAATTTTGATACAGTAGATAAAGATTTTTTTTGTTTTCTTCAAAAAGCTAAACTGGCATTTTCAGTGCCCAGTAATGCCCAGTTCGTGTTGGCCATTGAGTCTGAGACTTTAGCATTACCAGAACTTCTGATAGCTTTGTTAGTCATCTTGACAGGGGGGTTAATATCTTCAGGGAAATGGATCTTGTGGAGAAAAAAGTAGTAAGAAGAAAATTATTAGTCTCTGGACTCCTATCAAAAGAAAAAGTAATAGCTACCATTTTTATTTTCAAGGAAGAATAATCAGTGAAGATGGGAGAAGGAAGGGAGCACCTTAGATGAGACTTGGAGGGGTTTTTCTTCTTCATCACAGTGTAGGTTCTGTATCTTGACCCCAAGTATGCTTGCATGCTCTTCTTGGGACTGGAAGTCAGGAAAATGTAAGCTAGCGAGCCATCGTTGTGCAGAAAAGATAATCAAAAGGGTCACTCCCCAGGTAGGATACTGTCCTACAAGCATTTCCCATAAGATGCCATCATTGTGTACGTGTGGAAGAGCCTCACTGATTGGGACCAAGTTTCTCGCTCTTGTACGGCATATTTCTTACTTGCTTAATTCTTGTATTTGGAATCTGTTTTCCCAAAGGTCTGAGTTGTCCTGAAAATCACTTTGGTTGAGTGTTTCCTTAGATTATCATTGCTGGGAATGTTCAAGGTTGCTGTTTTGTCAGCACTGATCAAAATCGTTTTTAAATGTTTGCCTGCCAGTTTTAACGGAGAAGGGTTTTACTGCAGCTGCTCTACATGTTTTGCAGACAGTGCATGCCCCAGCAGTTTCCACTTTCTTGTCTGACACTTTTTTAAAAAGTAATCTTATTACTTCTGTTGGAAGGATTTGGCAATTTTCCAGAACAGATTTTATGAATAGACCAAGTCCATGTCCTGGCTATTTATGTTTGGTATGAAAACGTACAAAAATGCTGTATTTACATTTGTTTTATTGTGAGACAATTTTTTTCTTTTCCTATTGCATAATAATTTTTGAAATTTTAAAAATCAGACTGACCAATTTTTACCTTTCTAAACAAAATCTAAATAAAATCTGCTTTTCTATGAGGAAACATTTGGCTACAAGCACATATTTTAGTTTTTAAAGTCTCTTTGCAAGATCAGTGTTTGAATTAGGAGTCATTGAATAATCCACGGTTTTCCATGTTAACCAAGGGGAAAATGTGTAGGACAATAGATTAAATTGGCCTGTGGTACTGCTGTATTGACATTTAAGTCATTAACACATGAGCATGTGTAGCTGGGTAACCTTTTTAACTGGACTCTGTGAGCCGCTGCAGATAACACTTAGTTTCAAGGGGGAAGAATGGGCATCTGGTAGATTTGGATCCTTCAATTGGGAGGTTTTTGGTAATTGAACCGCTTGCCCTTTGATCGTCGAGAGATTAGGTATTGTTACCAAGGCCTGTGAGGAAAATTTCCATAGAAGTGGAATGTAAGAAGAGAAACAGTAGTTCTTGGACTGTACAAGTTAGGAAAAGAGTTAGAGCGTTCTTATTGGTGACAGAGTTTTTCATGCTTCAGTGGGAAGCACGAGAAACAAATGCACACAAGTAATTTAAAATGCCTCTACTTGTGCGGAGATGGGAAGATAAAGTGAAGTAACTGCTGCGTTTTACTTGCACTTCAGTGGCAGAACTATAGCTTTGACTCAGTCACACCAGAGAACGTCCTGACTCATGAAGTTGTCTCTTTCTATTTGTGCTGCAGTAAAGTGACTCAGACCTCCCTGTTAGGTTATTATTATGCGTTGCTTGATTGGTTGGTTTGTTTTCCCTTCTGAAGGGAATTGCAGAACTCATTTCACTCTTGTGGATTATGTGTTGTCTCAGTATCACGTCTCCTCTTGGACCATTGGATGTGTTTTGCATTAAGTTGGGGGAAAGGGAAGGAGGTGGCATTACTGTGCTACCTGGTTTTATCCTTCTGAAATATGTGCAGCAACGGATGTTTTGGGAAGAGTTAGGTTACTGTATATCTCTAGATTAGATTGCATAGTAATTCTGCAGTAGCAGGGAATGCAAGATGTTCTGTGTCCCCAAAAGCCAAAAGGAAAGGATCATCTTCTTTCTTACTTCAGGGTTTGTCTTGCGGGGAATTTGTCTCTTCTGCTCATAGAGCCTGTTGCTCTTGCTCTACATTGACCTGCATGTTTGTCTCACTAAGGAGATTAGCTGTTGGAAGACCAGGCAAAGAAAATCTTGGCCTAGGCAAAGTTTTGATAAAGAACATTGGTTAGGTTTTTTTCTCCACCTCTTAGGATTCCAGAAGAAAAAAATAAATAGATTCTATATCATTAGCTCATCCACAGTCAATTTACTGTGGTAAAACGTGGAAAATACACAGCAGCTTGAGGTGTGTTGTGGTGATATAAAGCTGTCAAAGTAACAGTGTTTAATGTCACATGGTGTTCTCAGCTGTGCAGAAAAAGTAACTTGGATCAAATCCCAACATGTTAAATGGTTTTACAGGATGCTGTTCCAGGTCCACAAGCCCACTGAGCGCAATATTGATCTCATTTGATTTCTACCCAGCTGGAACTCTTGACTGAAGTGGTACTAAGTCTTTCCACTAGAGCAGGCTCTGATAGCTAATAGAGCTACATTTTCTGTTTGTTAGTTTTTGAGCTTCCTCTACTGAGATCCAGTATTGTACTCTTAGTTTAGGCAGGTAATCTGGTGCTATTTATTTGCTCTTTAAGGCTTGTAAGTAGTAAAGCTCTTCTTTGAGCATTAAGTCCAACCTATGGTAAAACTTTTGTGCGTCTTGTATTGACGTCTGCTAAGTCACCTCACCAAGTTCTATATATTGAGTCCTTTCGGTGCTGTTTCATTACTGTTGGCAGAAACTTCTGTCAACATTAGTGCCTGCAGAAGAGTGGAGCTAATTACTAAGTTTTGGCTGTGTTTTGAAGTGTATATTAAGGGATACAGTAAGCAGTATTTTGTATTGTGTATAATACAGATAGAAAAGTATTGCAGTTCTGCAACTCTCAAGATTTCCCAAAAGTATTCCT